GACCATATAAATTACAAACAGACATATTGGTACCTTTAAAACGACATAAATGTCATTAATGAAAATGTTTCAGTTTCGGTTTCATTTAGGCTGTTTAAGTACAGTAGTGGTAAGTGCAAGCTACTTGCTACGCACCCTATCACCGGCTTCGACGGTATTTAATATTTAAACAGGAAAATGATGTATTTATGAATTTCAGTCGTTTAAAATGTAATGTGGTTACAAAACTATGTATTGCGTGATCTTTACAAAACTAATAAATATATGCTACAGTAAAAGCCATTCTATGGAAAAACAAAACAACCTTGATACATATACAACAAATTGACTATGAATGTTAAGAATATGCAGATATTCTTCATGTTATCTATAACAGCAATAGCAAGTCTTCATAAAGTTCCCTGTCCACTAAACCAGTGAATTCATTCCCTCAAAAAATTAAAATAATTGATAATGATAAATCGTTCTACTTAATAATTCTTTTATCTTTCTTTCTCATAATTTTTTAAGATTCTAGTAAAATATATATAGTACACATATATATGTGTGTGTATCTACTAGTTTTATCAGGCACACAGATTGTTCTGGATTCCAAGTATATAAGCTCTAGGCAAATTAAATTCGTCGCAGCTGCTTCCGCCCAATTACATAAAACCGATATAGAAATTTCTCCCGCACAAACGTAAAACAGTCAATTTCTTTTAATAATGATATGCCCTTTGGAGCAAACGGAACTGAACATACTGAAATATTCTTACAACAACTGTATCACAATTTTCATTTTGCGTTCTTTAATCTTATTGCTGCATGGTCTTCGTTTATTATAATAACTTTTTATCACTTTGAAATAATAATTCTATCTAAATATTCAGATATAACTATTGTATTATATTATTCTTGTGTCACACAATTTAAAAGAAATTTTATTCTATATAACTTTATGATAATTTACACCAGAAAATACTAAACTTGCAATTCACTAAATTGAAAACGATAAGTTTGGCTAGTGGCTTAACTGATTAGATTCATTAAGCAAGTCTTCAAGAAAACGTTACGTAAAAGAAATTGACGCTGATGTATGGAGAATATGGCTTAAGGTCACATGATTAGATTTTCAAAAGAAATGATATAATATAGTTTATTAAAAACAGGACATTATCTCTAGTACAATGCATTTTGTATATGTTTTCAATATTTTAACTAAAGTGTGTTTATATTAATATTCATTGTATATTAGTCTATGCATAACATACGATACTATATTGTCTTAACGTTGAAAATCATGACATTTATAGACGCAAGAAAAAACCATCTAACCATGCATTTGTTTTTCTATGAACAATATATCAAATATATAATGCTTGAATTACGTCAATGTACAAATTTGTGTACAATAAATCACAACCAACCTTCTGCAAATCAATGAACTTACAAAAAATATATCCTATGCCTTATATTCTTAAAATATGCCGCAGTATATCAAAGGCGAAACAAGAATTATCAAAAACGAAACACAAACATTGCTTCCATTAAACATTTAACCGTTTTTAATAAAAAAATGCTTCGCGTATGTTAGGAAATGATTTTTCATGATTATTGAACACACTCATTTGATTATCGAAATCGAAGCATTATAATTCTTGATATTTTGCAAGAATATTACTTATCATATTGCAAAGCTCTATACATGTAAACGAAGTTGTTCTGACATGTTATATTAACTGGAATATTATCAACTGCCGACTCAATGACTCTGCTTATACAAGTATTATTGTTAATATTACGTATAACAAACAAAAAATATGAAATACGTTGTTTAAATTCCTAGAATGTTTCTTGAGAGCTTAGAGCTGTTAGATAGCAAACAAATACATAAATGACAATGTTTATTACACTGTATGGTACATTTCAGACATGGTAATTAACCACCGTTACATGACCTACTTAGACCATACAAATGGCATATATATGGAAAGCTGTATTATACTTACAAGTCATGTAGGCGGACAAATTAATGGGGATAGAATCCTTGGTTTTATGGCATGAAAGAGCATCCCGTTGCGATTAAAAAAACTGGAATTTACTGAAAGTAAGCTTTACAAATAAATACGATTTAAACAAATATGCGAGTCAACAATCAATGAAACATAATTCATATGCATGTTGAAAATCTTAGACGATTCATTCCTGTTCTTAATTGTCGGACAACTTATAGTGATTTCTACTAAAGGCGTTTATGAAACAAAATATGTAATAACTTAGATTGACATTCAAATATAAAGTACACTAAGTTACATGTCGATCAAAACGCAGATGATAAAGAATCTTTTGCTACCGCTCTTTCATATATTTCTCACCTGATGAGATTGTTTGGCGTGACGGTATTATGACGGAAAACAAAAACATTTTCGATGCGTAGAATCAATGTGTCCATCACATTATAATGTATTTTATGTTAACTATGATATGCACTTAATTCTTAACGAGGTGTACCATCAGGTTAATGTGCTTTTAAAAAATTTTGAAATTTAGCAATTGTCATAAATCTTCCAAAAGGGTCTGTTTAAAAACCTTTGAGTTTTATTTTTACAGAAATTTGTTATCAATGTTTTTTAAATTTTGATTAAAAAGTAAAAATTCAAAAAAATTTTGAAAAATCCCCAACGTTGATTGTCACGGGGACGGGAAAAACAGAGTAAATTTTAAATTTTGGAATGCCCCTTTTTTAAAATTGTTTTCTGAAGAAAATTCAATTGTTTTTGGGGTTTTTTGTAATAAATACAACTTTCCCCTATTTAAGACTGAAAGCCCTTGTTTTGTCTTCTTACGCGCCATAAACAAACTCTATCACTTCGAAAAAAACCTGTTACTTACATGTAAGCAATTGAAATTCCAACTGCAACGTTAATAGAATTGAACAGAAAACTTCTCGAAGCTATTAAACCATTTTAAATGCTTCATTTTTTAAACCCAACCTATTCGTCTGTTACTTATTAACGAATTTATAATGTTTTTTTCTTCAGACGTGATGTGTGTTTCGAGAAGGCCTTTCAGACAAATGTTTTTGCACATGACACTTACAGTTCTAGAGTAATGCCCAGGGCGATATCTGTCGCAGCTGAAATCTTAAAGTTTTTAATCTGTATCAATTTCAAAATACAAAATGCATGTTGCTTATTTGTAGTATAGGACAATCAAATATATGTGCCTGAGAGTATTGGCGTCATAATCATTAAGAAAATCATAGTAACTATGCAGATTATAACTGAGTGTATCATTATTTTCATAATTATATTTTTGCTCTGAAAAAACATACATTTTCAAGGACCATTTTAATTAAAAACAGTTTAGATGACACAAATTCAGTATTGGTCAGAAGAAAATCATATTTTTTATCTCATACAAGTAATATATGAAATGTCAAAACCAGTGCTTATCAGTTGTTAAAGTGACATTATGCTCATATTTTCATTGTCAAGTTGAGCTGAATTGACTTCATATTTCAAAAGATTGACTGTTTGAATGATGTTTTACCAACTGGTTATATTGGAACTTTTAAGGTGTGGAATATTTAAAATCTCATAAAGATTAAAAAGAACTGCTTTTTAATAAATTGAAATTTAACCGATTTAAATTTTCGTCGTCGGTTTATTGTTTATGCGAAGAAAATTTATTAAATAAAAAAGGAATAATGGCAAAAAAAAAATTTTAAAATTTTGACTCTCCCCTATCTAGTCACTATATCCCTTTAAAATGGGGGCAAAATGCACTTAAAATTATTGATTATTTTAGATGACTAAAAATTTCACCCATGTACAAGAATATGGAATACATAAGAAGACTTTTAAACAAGTATAGGGAACACAATTACTGCTTTGGGGCCCAAATAAAATTTAAAAGGTTTTAGTTGATAATATCTTTCAAATTTAAGCTTTTTTGCTAAATTGATCCACACCAAAAAAGTGCTGTACGCAATTTTGGGTGTTTAAACATAAAATTTTTTAAAAGAAAAACAAAAAAAATATGTTTTTCCTGTAGTTTTTGGGGGGATTTCAAATTATCGATGACAAGTGATATAAGTATTTTACAGAACTCCACACATATTTGTTATGAGCAAACATAATTTGGGTTTCGTATATGACTAAGTGCATCATTAATTTTTACATCTTATATTTAAAAAGCCAGAAAGAATAGATCATGACGTACGTTCTTCTGATCAGTAAACATATTTTGTTTTACATTTACTAACATAGCAAAGATAGTCTCCTTTGAAACACGAATATCAATTATGATAGTGAGTAGATTTAAGAAAGGTTTTTTCTAACGACGAATAATGTCTTACTAGACTATTAAATACATACGGAATATTGAGCTACACATATAATGTTTTATTATTGTGGTAAGGTATGTACGTATTTGCTTCTGCACATTTCTAACAGAAGTATTTGTAAGACGACCATTGTCATAGTAACATGATAAACGGTTCACTAAGCACTTTTATTTCATTATTAATTTCTAAAAGTTGCTATTATAGTAAGTAAGGTTTGTATAATTATGTATTGAACCCCACTTTATTTGTCAATTGATTATTGTACGTCAAGTAACATCTGAAAATTAGTATAAGGACATTCGTTGAAAGAGAATTGCAAATCATTTAGGGCAATGAATTGTATCTGATTCAGCTTTTAACTGGTTCAGACATGTCAAATCAAATTTTAAAATGCCTTTGCTGATTTAGATATCACGTGTAATGTTTCATTTGTGTGATAATAAAGCGCAAATTACATCATGTATTAATGTACGAGGGTTGTCCAAAAAATTCGTGCACTGTAGTTATTCTCATGAGAGTTATTAATAAAAAAGCATGAATTATATATCACTTGAAGGGGAAATCTGTCTCAAATAAGAAAACATAACTAAAAGTCGTGTAACCAGCGTGTCGTGAAAAAGAATTGCCATGAGGTTACCTTAGTAATGTAATACCGGCGCACGACAAAAAAATGGGTAAGTTCATTACTGTGATCGTATTTATTTTTTGTCGCTTGTAAAGTGGCAGTTGCTTTTTATGTCATAATTTGTTTAACTGTTAATAGAGTAATGATTGATGCAAAGTATTTTGTAGTTGTTTTGTTCTTATGCAACGTACATGTAACATATTCCACCAGTGCACGAATATATTGGACAATCCTCGTCACATGCGCCGGCATTACGGACGAACGTTTGCCTGACCGGTTGTCATCATCTACCTCCTCTCGCCCCTCTACAGAGCATTTGTGCCATTCATAAACAAGCCTGCGTTACACTGAACTTATCACCCTTGCCCTTTTAAATTCTTTGTAGGTATATGTCGGTGTTTTACCAATACTTGCCCAACATTTAATGATCGTCCGTATTTCCAGACGTTTAGCGACTGAAATTTTCACGTAATTACAGTATTGAAGACCACATACATGTTTGTTTACGACCGTCAGAAAATGGCAAATGACGTCATATTTTCTATTGACGTCAGGAAAACGTACACACACTTTTCCCAAAATTTTGACATTTATATGCAGTGTTTAAAGAATACTGTGCTGCATCAAAGTCATGAACTAACCCAATGTTTGTGTTGTGCGCCGGTATTATGTTACCAAGGTAACTGTATGACGATTTGTTTTCACGACACTCCAGTTACACGGCTTTTTCATTTTTTTATTTGAGACAGATTTCCCCTTCAAGTGATATATTATTCATGTTTTTTTTGTCAATATCTCTCACGACAATAACTGCAGTGCACGAATTTTTTGGACAACCCTCGTATATACATGTAATAATAAAGCGTATTTACCATTTAGTAAACAAATGAATAGTTGCACAGATCACATATTGTCCACAAGGTTGTAAGTGAAGTAGGATGCATAACAATTCTATCAAATGCAAAATATGTCACATTTTAATCTTTGCAGTACTTATATGTTACAGGAAATAAAGATATATCATTCCTTTGCCGAAATAATGAATGTTTAAAACTACCAGTACACTATCACAGACGGCAAAAATTGGGATAACGTCGTTCCAAAATTAATGTCTATTTTTTATACCAATTCGTGATAGGGATTTTCTTTGGGAATTTAAATGTTTCAATATAATGATGTAGTAGTCTGACTTTTATCCCTTATTTTGTCATGGACAAAATGAAGGTCGGAAGCAAGTTTTCATTTTAAAAGGAGACAATGCCTCTCGTGTCCTGTCCCGTATTACTATTATATTCAGTAATGACGAAATATTTCTAAGAAGCTTGTTATTCTGAAAATAAATTAAAATATTCAGTAGCAAAAGATTTAAAAAATAATCATTTTATTTTTTGGCAAGGTGGTGTTTTCCCTTTTTTACATTATTTTTAAACAAAAATTGAAATGTTCCGTACCTTATGTAGAAAATTTCCGTACAAAAGTTTCTTTTATTCTAACTTTATATAGCTCTCACAGTTCAGCCACAATATACTGTTTTTGGATGGTATTGTTCGTTAAATCGCAAAGCGATTAAATTGTGCAAAAGTTTCATTTGTAAGTGCCTATTATTTAAGATATCAAATGCTTAAATCTATCGTATATTCATATTTTTGCCAACATCAAAATCTTTTTTAATGGATATATTCCTTTCATTTTTAGCAAACATGGATGGAAGTTAGCAGTTGGTCTGAAATTATTGTGTATATTAATCATGTGAAATAGTATATTTTCTTCAAATATAGCAAATTATCATTTAGAAATTGCAATGTATTTTCTGATATATTCGTTCAATGATTTTCAGCCAGACAGTCTCGACAGATGAGAGATAAATGTAAAACCTTTTGCGAAGGATACTTCATCATTTGTCTTTTCCTGTCCTGATGCACATTGTTATGATGTTCAGTATAATCGACTAAATATCAAAATATTATTGATAATACATCAGATCTCGTGAACGCCTGGCATAATATATATGTTTTGTTATTGTTTTCGTTTATATATATAACAACACCCAAACAAATTATATATGTAAATGGCCTTTGTACATTTTGTTTCAATCGTGGGGAGTGTTTTTGAAGACCTTCATGGTATCTCTTTGCAAACTATTTGCAATAAATACTAATTATCTGGAAAAAATGATCCCTTGAAAGTGTTAATCACAACAAAATTACTTACGTTAGTCGAGCTATAATCATAACAAAATGGCTGATGACATTGAGAAATAATTAAGGGTAGATAAGTATGTAAATACATTATGTACATATAGATATTCGTTTCCAGAAGGCAATTTATTCTGAAAATATTGTTCATACTTTAAAAAAGAATATCTTATAATCACGGTATGATTTTTCAAGATGACAATATTTTCTTATTCTGTCGATACAACTTTTTCTATCCTATGGTTTCATCATGTTATTGAACTTTTCATACACTCCGTGCATAGCAATAATAACCCACTGTATATGTGCGATACATGCCTTTTCAAATAAATGCATACACACTTACTATAAAATACTGTTATATGATTCATTATGAAATACATATTTGTAGTATTTTCCCGATATCAGTTTGGCTACATCACTTTAATTCATTCTCGTATGTGCGTTCAATTTTGAAATGAAATGAGTCATAGGTTGTATAATATCTTTTTCTGTTAAAGGAAGAAGACACGGGGAAGATTTTTTTTTCGATTTGAATTTTTCATTCATTATTCTGTAAATGTCTTCAAAATAAATACACTAAGCAGTCAAGAGAAGAAACTTTTCTCCTTGTGAAGAAAGAAATGGTAGTTTCCTAACTTGACCAAGGTGGGTCAGGTTAGAGCGTTAAGATTTCACAATAATTGTCACAGTGAACTCTGGAAACGTTAAAGTATATGCCAAATTAATGGATTAGACTTGTTTCAACTACTCAGTGATTATGTCGGCGTCCAAATATTGTTGAACATGTAAAGATAAATTTACGTTTCAAACTAAAACAAACATGGAATCTTATACAGAAGTAGATGCTAGGGCTTGTCATTTTAGCGTGATTTGAGTACATATTAAGACCATTTTAATATGTTTGCGATTAATTTGCCTGAGTATCCCTTTAAATAAAGTTGTTTTGCCCTTCAAACTCAAACTTCACTAAAAATGTGAAGAGTCAAATAAAACCATATTGCCACGAAAATATATATCTAACACACTTCTTTAAGAATTTTGTCTGTATTAAAATATCATCTATAATACACATTAGTACATTACACGTTGGGGATGTTTGTATTGTAAATCAGCTTAATGTGGCATGGTGACTATTAATCCCTTGTTCGCTTAGTGAACTCAGTACAGGGGTCGCTAGTTCGATAGTCGAGCGAGGCAATTTTCTCAGTGTCAATTGACCTCAAAAATTGAATCTAATTGTTGTTTGTCTCTCATTGCCGATTTAGAAAGCATGAAGGATTAGTAGTCGGTAAGCCGATTTAGTTGGTCCTAAAAGAACATGTTGTTACGTACATATGTATGTACTGAGTTATTGCGCCAATATTAGCGTCACGTTTAGCGTGACGCGCCTTTTTATATGTTATTGTATAGACGTCATTATACGAGTTGACTTCCGGTAATCGAAATAAAACAACGTTATTGAAGAACCAGTGCAATCTTTTGATTATTTAGTGTTTACACAACATTTTGGTCACGCGAACCGGATAACACTATGGCAACAAAATTACGTTCTATACAGAAGGGTCACAAAGGCGCAGTTACACGACTCCTGAACAAATTCGAGATAATTCAGCGGGAGACAGCCGATTACGAGGAACTTGTGACGATCATTGATTCCCTCAAACAGAAACAGCAGACGATCACGGAGATTCACGAAAAAGATCCTTGATTCTTTTCAAGACGAAGAAGAAGAACAAATAGAAACAGAAATTCTTGAGCATGATGAGTATATATACATGTTAAAGACCAAGATACAGAAGATACATGATTTTAGGAAGGTATCAATTTCAAATTTGAACTACAATTCCCCAGCTCTAAACCCTAATGCTCAGCCATTTCAAGCGTCCGTATCAAGCGAAACATCCAAGATTTGTGCGCCAGGTATCAGCGAGAATACTTCCCAGATGCATTTCTTACCGTCCTTATCTCAAAGCTCAGTATATCACAAATTACCAAAGTTAGATTTGCCGAAGTTCGACGGAAATGTCCTTGACTGGTGTTCATTCTGGGATTCTTGCGAGTCTGCTATACACACGAATGTTTCACTTAGCGGAGTACAGAAATTCAATTACTTGAAGTCGTGTCTTAAAAATGAAGCTTTGCAAACAATAGCTGGATTTGCCTTAACTAATGTTAATTATGAACAGGCTATTTCATTGTTACATGAGAGATATGGTCAAAAGGACAGAATTATACAAACTTACATGAAAGCATTACTGGAAGTTCCAGCACCCAGGTACACTATACAGAGCGTTAGAAAATTCTATGATACAACAGAGACATATATCAGAGCATTAGCTTCACTGAATCAGAATGAGACCACATACGGTTCATTACTTACACCTGTTATCCTTCAAAAACTACCGCCAGAGGTCAGAACAAACATTACACGTGCGCACGGGATGCAGTCGTGGTCTTTGCGTGAATTGATGAAATGTATACTGAATGAAATCAATAATTTAGACGCTGGAAATTTGCTGAATACCCCTCAATACTTCATTCCGACGGCAACTTTTTTAACAAAATCTGATTCCAGTAAGCCGGAAAGAAAAAATACATCCATACCAGGCCATTTACGACAACATAGACAGAGATGCTTGTTTTGTGAGGGAGAGCACTCTTGTATAGACTGTGTAAAATGTAAAGATCGTGAACAGAGAATGAAGATAGTGAAGGAAAGAAGGCTATGTTTTAATTGTCTGGGAAACCACAAGATTACAGACTGTAAGTCTAAATTCAAGTGTAAAATATGCTCACGCAGACATCATACTAGTATTTGTGGAGTAGAAAAAGAAGCAGATAAGTATCCTGTTATCAACAATGAGAAAAAGAACTCCACTTCGGTAATACATTCTGCTCACTCTACCACACCAGGTTCTGTATTATTAAAGACAGCAGTTTCCATGGTAACCTCAAAAAGTACCTCCATTTCTGCCAACATCCTATTTGATGAAGGTTCCCAGAGTTCATTTATAAGTGAACACCTAGCCCAAAAATTACAATTGGAGCCCACCGGAAGTGAAACATTATATATGTCGGGTTTCGGAGACACAGAGCGTCGCGTGCGACATTTAAGCAGAACAACCGTGTATTTAGAAACACCAGAAGTAAATATTCCCATAAAGGTTTTGATTATTCCTGAAATGTCCACACCACTTAAATCACATCACAAACATGATGGTCACCTTACTTATCTGAAAGGGCTCAAACTCGCACACCCTGTCTCAGAAGATGAAGATTTTGATATCGAGATTCTTATTGGTGCTGATCATTACTGGGACGTAGTATTAGATAAACTTATCAGAGGTGACGGGCCTACAGCTATACAGTCTAAAATCGGATACCTTCTATCAGGACCATTGAAAACTGATCATGAAATACATTCTACATCGATTCCCATCTGTAAAATTAACATTATGACTGTGATTACGCATAATGAACTTAAAGTAGAGCATCTTAAGATAAAAGAGTCGGTCGGAGAAGGATATAAGCCAAACCAACAATTATGCTACGAAAAAAGACGCGAATATTCAGAAAAATAGCATTACGTACAGTAAAGAAAATTATGTTGACAATTTACCAAAGAAAGATGACCACTACATTATATCACGAAACGAACATATAAGTAGATCCAGAACTATGCCCCACCATCCTGTGAGAAAAGACTCGGAGAAATATGTGTTATAAATGACCGCACACTTATCTATACATTCATGTACACATATCTCATAGACCCATCTCATCTACTATACAGACGCAGGATTACCTCCCCTATTTACCCAGAGAACTCACAACAAGAGGATTCAATGAGCCTGTCGAGGAACTGTACATACTCATAGATGCAACGCTTGAACGTTTCTTTTCAAGATGGAAACACAAATACCTAACCTTGTTACGAGAGTCTCACTAAAACTGAAGTAACATTGTACACGTGATTCAAGTGCATTTGCCGGCAACAATTTTTCGCGCATGCCTTTAAAATATAAAGTGACATTTGCAATTCGTTATATATAATCAGTGAAACTTTACCGGTTAATTGCAATAAGAGTATAATAACAATGATTTGAAACTAATTGCAATAGTGGTTTACTATCAGAGACAGTTTTATGACTTTAATTGATCGATCGAACTTGTAATTTAATTCACTAGATATATCTGATTTCATAGTTTCTAAGTTACAATACTTCATTTCATTGAATTCATTTTGTACAATTATCATTTTATTTAATATGATCTTGAACAAGCATTGTGGCCCCCGGAGTGTTACGTACATATGTATGTACTGAGTTATTGCGCCAATATTAGCGTCACGTTTAGCGTGACGCGCCTTTTTATATGTTATTGTATAGACGTCATTATACGAGTTGACTTCCGGTAATCGAAATAAAACAACGTTATTGAAGAACCAGTGCAATCTTTTGATTATTTAGTGTTTACACAACACATGTAAATGGTAGCATAAAAATTGTAACACGTATGTTTTCAGACTTTTGGGAAAATAAGCCGGTAGATTCGTCATCTTCCTGTCACATATATTGGCGCTTTGATTTAACATCTCTGACATATAAGTCTTATTGATATTCGCTGCGAGACTGTCGAAACAGAATCAGTTGTCACCTCAATCAATGAGAATATCAACAAGTAAAAAATTGCTGGGAAATGCAGCAATATGATTGTCACGGCGAAAAACAAAAAAAAACCAACCCCAACACAAAAAAACAACAACAAAAACAGTTAAATATATTGATAAGGTATCTTCAAATAGCATTGTGTTGAATTGCCTGAATCTCAATGAGATCTATCCACCTAATAAGTTTCAAATTGATACCTCTAACACCTTTTTGAGATAAGCTGCGGACAAAAAGTATGAAAAATAACAAATGGCAATAACTAACAAAATATAAAGGGTATCATTCTTGCGCAAAACACTCCTCCCCAATAAGATCTATCCACCTATAAAGTTTCATGTTGACATTTCAAAGACTTTTTCAGAGAATGATATGCTCTCAAATGCTTTTGTAGTTATACCCTGGACAAAAATAAAGTATGAAAATAACAAAGTGCAATAACTGAAAAAACAATGCACGGTAGGTTATCATTCTAGTGTGCTGCAATGCTCCCCAATAAGATCTATCCACCTATGAAGTTTCAAGATGTCAAAAGTTTGAAAAATAACAAAATGGCGATAACTCAAACATTATAAAAGATAGAGTTATCATTCTTGCGCATAAACGTTCCTCCTCAAAAAGATCTATCCACGTATGAAGTTTCATGTTGACATTTCAAAGACTTTTTCAGAGATATGCTCCACTCAGGTGAAAAACTTAGTATGAAAAATAACAACGGGCAATAACTAAAAATTATGAAGGATAGAGTTATCACTCTTTTGCACTGCATACCTCCTGAGTGAGATCTATCCACCTTTGAAGGTTCATGTACATATCTCAAAGGCTTTTGTAGTTACACCCTGGACAAAATTAAGTATAAAAAATAACAAAGGGCAATAACTGAAAAATAATGCGCGGTTAGTTATCATTCTAGTGTGCTGCACTTCTCATCAAAAAGAGCTATCAACCTATGAAGTTTCAAGTTGTTACCTCTAACACTTTTTTAGATATTCTCCGCACAAAAAGTATAAAAATAACAAATGACAATAACTCAAAAATTATAAAGGGTAGAGTTATCATTCTTTCGCACAACATTCATCCTCAAAAAGATCTATCTACCTATGAAGATTACATTGACATCTTAAAGTTTGTTTTTTCAGTTAATTAATGCTCCACCCAGGTGAAAAATTAAGCATGAAAATTAACAAAGGGCAATAACTCAAAATTTAGGAATGTTAGAGTTATCACATTGCACACCTCCTGAGTGAGATCTATCCAACTATGAAGTTTCATGTTGATATCTCAAAGGCTTTTCGAGTTATGCTGTGGACAAAGATTGAGTTTGAAGAATAACAAAGGGCAATAATGAAAAAAATATGCAGCGTAGAGTTATTATTCTTGTGCAGTGCACTTTTCCTAAATATGATTTATCCACCAATGAAGTTTCAAGTTGATACCTCCACCTATGAAGTTTCAAATTGATACTTTTTGAGACATGCTCCGGACAAAAATGTAGAGGAGCGGACGGAAGGACAGACGGGACGGATGGAGACTAATTCTATATCCCCCACCGTCTTTTCGGCGGAGGATAATAAAACATTTTCTTGCTCATATCTAAAGGAAACTCAGAATTTTGCTCACAATAACGAGACATGAATTCTGAATGAAGTTTGATGTTGTGGTAAAAACTGATTTAACCCTTTACCTCATGTATACGCGAAACAACGCGGAGTCCCCCTCATCGCCAAGAAAATTTGGATTTGTCAGAGGCTAAAAATGACCCCGGGTCGATCATAAGGTAACGTGTAACCAACGCTGAAAAGCCTTTTAACTCTATCTCAATCCCTTGAGAAGTTGCAGCACTTTGAAATAAATTTTGATGGAAAAAATCGAGGCAAAATAGTGATTTTTTGGCAATTTTGAGATGTCCCCTCGTTGCCCATGGTAATGGGAAATTTAAAACTGAGCATGTCGTTACAAAGGCAATAGTCCAGTCAACATTTGTGCCAAGTTTGACTAGTATTGAAGCATTTTTCATAGTTTTCATAGCAGTTTGAACTTGTAAACAGGAGGCTTTTCAGTGAAAACGGCCATTTTTCACAATATGCTCATGGGGGGAAAGGGTTAGAGGACCAAATTAAGTTATTTACAACCTGGTATGGTGAATGTTTATTGTGAAACGCATATAGAAAAACCAAATCTCATTTTAGAGAATTGCGCAAAAAAAAAAATGAAATTATTAAAAAAAAAAAAGAAGACAATTTAAGTTCTTAATTGCAAATATAGAAACTTAGGAATGTAATGTTCAAAGACATTTTTACACGTGAAAAGATTCACTCTGAGAGAGACATAGATCCGACATGAAAACACATTAGTCAAAATATGTCGTCCCTTCGTGTGTTCGCATTTTCGCATTTTGAGGCGAATACGCGAATATATACGGATGGCGTAAATCAGCCACCATACATAATCCATTCAAGGCGAATTTCTCAAGCATGTCGAAAGGATGTCCGGAAATGTGTTAATATAAAACGCTGATATTTCGTGTGTTGATACAAATACTGTTAAGATTCTATATGGTTTTTGAAAAAAAAACTGTTGCTATGTAACTTTTCACAGAAATGGGCTGCACAATGATTGCGTAAAAACAATAAAATGTCGGCTGTAGAAATCGAAAGGCATTTTGTCACGTGACTTTTGCCCATGCTACCGAAAACTACCCATCACAATATCACGGCGTTGAGACGCCGTGAAATAAACAACGTACGGCCAGGGGGAAAATACCGACATCGGTCACAGAAAAATATGACCATTTCTCTATTTTAGATTTTTTTTACAGCATATCTGTTTTACGTTTTATTTTTAAGAATAGACATATCTACATTTTTCTATTACTTGTAAACAAAAAGTATTTACACAATCAAGTATACATGCGAATATCTATCTAAACTGTTTAAAGGTGATACATGAATTGTTATACTCGTAAATAAAGTTGTCCCGGGGCGGGACCAATTCTAGATTAATATTTGTTTTGAAGATGTTCACATGGCAATATGCTACGTGTCAAACATATAAGCTCAAGCCATACAGTTAAATGCAATTAGACAAATGAGTTTTCTAAAATAATTCTTTAATAAAAAATGACCAATTTTGACCCAAGGAAGAACTTATCTGTGTTTTGCCCTTCGTCTCATTATAAGTAACTTTTCAACCAAACAGATTTTATTTCCTTCTATCGGTTCAAAAGATTCAAACAAGGCACGACCTTTTGAAATTCGTACGTAATAAGTAAGTGTGACCTTGACCTGATTAAGGGCAAACCCGTGCCCTGTAGATCGTCTCATTATGGTCAGCACTTTTTTTTGTTCGGCCTATAAAATTTCAATATAAGAATAACCGCTAAGAAGAATAACTGAAACTCACGCTATGTTGTAAATAAATAATTACTCAGTACCCACAAAAGCTTGATATTTATGGTGATGAAATTCCTAAATAACAGTAGAGTATATCTGACACTATTCTAAATAAACAACACATACGAGTACGTACGTATGAGAAAATAAAACTGAAATTTGTGTGCATAAATGCAAATACTTTTTATCTTTGTGAACAACGAAAGATTTTTTTTTTACTTATGATTCTTACTTGATTTTGGCTCGTATTCAATTCTTCTTGCACCGAATATGTCATTTGTTAAGTCTAAGTAGGGTCATATAAAGATGTTTTTCTGTGTCTGAATAATGATTTATTACAATTATCATTCCTTACTAAATTACTAGGGGGAGTTCCCACTTTCTCCATAAAAATCCAACACTTAAAGAGCACTATTATTTCATAAATACGTACTATTTATACATTTATTATATTGTAGCTTGATATTAACTTTATGATTTATATAATGTAACATGGTTAAGCAGCTTCAACTGGTCGAACCA